ACAACATGAATTGCTTTCATTTCTGATATTCCTCCCCCAACCACCACAAGGAGAATCTCCGAGATGCGAGGCACAAGCACTTGATTTTCGATTACAGACATGATTTTGCAGATCATGGAGAGAATGGTATCTTCATATACAGACATGATTTCGTAGATCATGGAGAGAATGGTATCTTCAACATGACACAAGGTATACATATTTTCTTTTGGTACATTAAATGATGATGTGGGCCAATTACAGATAGAAGAAGGGATTGCAAATCATTGCATTCATTAGAACAACTTAGACACATGGTGTCCAATGCTATAATGTTCAGTCATATGAACAACTATTGGACGGCTGAAAACTTAACGCCCCTATTTGCAATTTGAATGTAAGCATCGAGCGCAGTCGATTATCTTGTCTATGTACAGCTGACCTCGCTTGCATGCCCACCTTCATTGCAAGCAAAATTATAATCATAAGAGGTTGAACTTGAGAATACCTGATCAATACCAAGCAATCACTACCATCAGGGTAAAGAATCATGGGAAAGAACTGAGCTTGAAATGCTTAAAAGAATAAAACCTCCGACACCTCAACAAAGGAACCTTGATGCCAGAAATTTCAAGTTTTCCTAAGAACATACTTTTCAACAACATGTTCGAGGAAGATTATAAGAATAGTCTTAAAAGGGAAAGTACCTGTAATCATTTCAAGTATGTACAGACTGATTAGGAAGCTGTGCAAATGTTCCCACATTTGGGCTGCACCCTCCAGCCATCATTTGCTGGTAGACTGCATAGGCATGGTCAGGGTTTCCAGACACACTGTATCCTCGTATAAGTGCATTGTACGTGAAGACATTAGGTTCAAGCCCTTTAAGTTGTAATTCTTCATAGATCTTTCCAGCTTGTTCCACCATTCCAGCAGTCCCAAGATTGAGTATTAGTGAATTGTAAGTGTAAAGATCAGGACTTATACCCCTACTCTGCATTTCATCAAAAAGAGAAAGAGCATCTTCCACCCTTCTTGATCTTCCAAACCCATTGATCATAAGGTTATAAGACACCAAGTCAGGATCGAGACCAGTTAGCTTTAGTTCCTCAAAGTAGTGCATCGCATCATCCACCCTTCCTGCCAAGCAGAGACAGTCTACAAGAATGGTATAGGACTTTAAGTCTGGTCTTATTCCCTCATTTACCATCTTTTTGAACAACTCACAAGCACTCTCCACATCACCAGTTTTCCCATACCCATTTATAAGAATATTATAAATAGCACAATTAGGCTTGCAGCCATAATCAGCCATCTCTTCAAATAATTGCTGTGCCTCGTCAAGTCTCCCTAATTTACAAAGTCCATCTATAAGAGGTCCATATGTACATGGGGTGGGAGAGAAATCACCACTTACAAGATCATAGTACACATCCATAGCCTTTTCCACGTTGTTTGAGTTTATGAGACCAGAGATGACTATATTGTGAGTTATAGCATTAGGCTTGCATCCCCGACAAACCATCTCTTCATACACTTCAAAGAGTTTGTCAATCTTCCCAGCCTTTCCATGAGCATCAAGCAAAAAGTTAAAGGTAGAAATGTCTGGAGAACAACCAATGTTCTTCATCTCCTCAAAAAGATGCCAAGCCATTTCTGTCCCATGGACTCCAATCAATCCATCAATCAACAAATTATACACTTTTACTGTTGGAAGAACCCCCAGACTTCTAGTAAACTTTGTAAATAAATCTAGTGCAAGAAGGGCTTTCTTCTGCCTGCACAAAGTTCTAATTATAGGTAGCAAAATTGAGTCATCCTGACAGATCTTATTACGTACCAGTGTTTCAGCAAATAAAATAGCATTATCAGTTCCAGCTTCACTCAGAATCCCTCCCATTAGATCTTCCCAAAATGATCTGTCTATGTAAATTCCAACCTGATACACAAAATCCTGTGCAATCTTGAAAGCATCAATAACCAGCCCATCTTTAACAACACCAGGAAGCAGAGTGCACAAAGTCACATAATCGGGATAGAGCAATTTCTTCATTTGAAAGAAGAGCCAAATTGCAATCCCAACTCTGTTTTCTTTAATAAAGCCATAAATAATAGTGTTGTAAGTCAAAACATCAGGTCTGCAATTCATCTTCGTCATTCTAAAAAGCAATTTCAGTGCCAAATCAACCTCATTATTCTTGCATAGGCAATCCAGCAGGGTGTTAAAAGTTATAGTGTTTGGAGGGCACCCATATCTAGTCATGCTCTCAAACAACTCAATGACCTCTTGGACCCGACCCTGCTTTCCTAATCCTGATATTAATGTGTTATAAGTCACTACTGAAGGAGCAAGCTTCATGTCCTTCATTCTGTAATACATTCCCAATGCCTCATCTACTCGGCCAGCCTTGAAAAGCATATCAATGAGAGAATTGATGTTGATTACATCAGGTTCACAATGATTTTCCAACATCTCAGACAATAACTTAATGGCTTCATCTACTTGCCCAACTTTGCTATAGCACCTCATCATCACGTTATAGGTGACTGAATCAGGAGCAAGCCCACTATCTTTAAGACCATTAAAAATAGCTTTTGCTTCATCAAGCCTTCCCATTTCAGCGAGGCCATACAAAGATGCATTGCAGGCAACAATATTAGGAACAAGGCCTCTAGATTTCATTTTCTCAAATGTCTCAAGTGCTTTGCCAGTTTGACCAGACTTTCCATAGTAGTCAATGAAAAGGATGTATGTATAAGTTGTAGGCTTAATGCCTAGAGATTCCAAATTACTGAAAAGCTTTAATGCCTCATCCACCCTGTTTACCCTCAATAGTCCACAAATCAGTGCATTGTAAGTGTGAAGATTGGGTGAGATGCCTTGCTTTCTCATGACATTCAACTTCTCAAATGCTTCATCCACATTTCCAACTTTGCAGAAAGCATCAATAAGTATTGTGAAAGTAACCACATCAGGAGGGTAACCATCAGATACCATTTGGTCCCAAAACTCTTTCAGTGTATCCAAGTCTCCACAGTCATTAAATTTGTTCAACAAAGTAATGTAGGTTACTCTGTCAGGTTTGTGGCTGCTTGCTTTCATTTTTAAGAATATCTCCTTGGCTTGGTTAATCCTTCCAGCATTACAAAGAGCATCAATCAGAACAGTGTAAGAGATAACATCTGGCCCACATCCTTGTTCATACATTCTCTTCAAAATTCCACATGCCTCGTCAATTTTCCCAGCCCTTCCAAGCACTCTAATGCATATAGTAAATGTGTAAACATTGGGCCTCAATCCCAAAGTCTCCAACTCTTCTAACAAACTGATTACTGTTTCAACATCCCTTCTCTTCCCCAATGCTACCATTAGAGCAGAGTAAGTCTTAAGACTAGGCTTAAGACCTTCAGAGACCATTCTTCTATATACTGCTAAAGCCTCCCTCAAACACCCGGATTGAAGTACCAAATGAATCAGTCCATTATACGAAAATGCATTTAGAACAAACCCAGCCTCCCTCATCTTCTCAAGTGCAATTGGTGCCTGTCGAAGTCCCCCTCTAATGTCAAGTACTTTAAAAATGCTCAAATAAGTATTCAAATCCCTGATGATGATTTTCTTTTGCATGAACTCAAACACAACAACCATATCCCCTACCATCCTATGGGCCCGCAAGACTTCAAGCATGTAATTACATGTCACAGCAGTGTGAACAACATTAGGCAACTCGGCAACTGATTTAAAGTAGGAAAAAGCAGAATTTGGATCTGAAATTGACTTTAGAACCCTAAGCACTTCCTCTGAGAGTAAGCTCTTTCCGGGTTTCCCCTTCTCCACCACCATTTCTCCTGGTGAATTCATAACACAGAAACCCAATTGTTTTTTTCTGTGTTTCTTCCAGGATACCATATACCCACATCGCAAAACCCAGAAATTCCCAACATTTCTACCTCCCAAGAACCCATTTTTACCGCCAAAAGCAGATGATGCTCTGCGATCAGCGTAAACACAACCATAACCGAGATTTCCACAACAAAAACTTGTTGAGCAGAGTATTAACACAGCCATTATGAACAACTAATATATCAGAAATCAGACGTGGATCACTCTGTGCAGGAGTTCAGTTTCTTGAATTACGTCTGAACGAACAAGAAAAAAAGAAGGCAAGTACTCTCACCTCTGTTTCCGGATTGAAAGGAAGAAGGAGATTGGCTTCCCGAATTCACACCTTCGTAGTATGAAGTATGCTCTATCCGGCCCGGGGGTTACTAGCTTACCGGAACTCCATGGCCGCAGGTTTCACTCCTTTGTATTTTATTATCTCCACTGCGATTTTTGGTGTCGCAAAAAAATCTCCTTTCCTTTCACCTTTCTTTATGGGCATTTTACTTTAAAGTCAAAATCTTTAGAGTCACTGGTAAATTCATCCTCAACCTTTGAAACTAAGGAATTTAGATCTTAACCTTTTGTATCTTTATCACTTCATCCTTTTCGTCTATCATTTGCGTCAATTCTAATGAATTAACACTACTAAAATCATTATTCTAACTTAGAGAGTTTATATAAAATGCCACATACTTTTAATGCAAAAAAAACTACAGAATAGAAAAAAAGTGAGATTCAATTTTTATTGTTGCAAGAAACAACACATATTTCCTTCTAGTTAGATCAATGGTTTTATTTTTATGTTTTATCCATTTGAATTAACAACATTGGTGGATGAAAAATATCATAATGCAAAACTTTAGAAGGGTAAGGATCCAATTACAACTATTTAAAGGTTGAGAATGATTTGCAAGAAATCTTAAAACCTAAGGACTAAATATTTTTTTGACTTTAAAAAATCTTGTTTTCTGCTAAATATATGGAGCAATTACCCTAACTGCCGCCAATTAAATGTGGCTTCTCCCTGAAAGCCCTAGCTCAGCTAAAACATCCAATTCCTCCTGTTTCCGACGCCGGTTACCTCAGTTACAGAAGAGTACGAGGTGGAGCAACAGAAAAGCTTGTATCTTGAATACACATGGAAGGAAGTGGAAGTCAAAGTTCGATAATTCCTGAATCGGTGATGGATTCAGTGAAGAACACGCTTGTAAACGCCGAACAAGTGAGAACCCACTTGCTCCAAATCTTGTCTCTCGCCGAACCTGATGTCCTCGCTCTAATGCCGCCTCTTCAACGCGCTCAATCTTTGTTCTTGCTTTCCAAAGCGACTACAACACTGTTCACTTGTAATTGCTGATCTTCTCTCATTTTTTAGGTTTTTGGGTACTGATGCTTTTGAGCTGAATTGTTAATCTTTAGTTCAATTCTGGGTCTTGCAGTGAGGTTGAGATGCAGTGGAGTTGACCCAGATGATCATGCTGTTAAATCCGAGCTTGTATGTTTCTAACTCGGTTGTTCCTTTCACTTTACGTTTGAAATTTTCTTCTTGGTTTCCCTGATTTTCGCAGTATATTAGTAACTTCTAATTTTGTTTTTGAGAACGTGTGGTGGCATTCCTTAATCTTAATTGGGGTTTTGGAGTTGAATATCATTTGTTTTAGGGAGGGGTGGAACTGTGGATTGTAGTGAAGTTTAGTACGTATTGCCTAACTGGATTATGTTTTCTTTTTCTTTTCTAGGAGAGGTTAAGTTTGTATCAAGACAAACTAAAGCGGTTCATAGACTGGAGTAAAGGTACACACCTTTTCTTCTTTTAATCTGAATGTCATTCTATGTCAAGCCATGAATCCTGCATCATTTGAAATGTATGCGATTATGTTGCTTGGTATGGAATTCGTTGTATTGAAATTCCTATTTAGGTCTAGTTTTATATTGGCACAGTGAACTTTATTGATGAGACTTGCAGACACTAATTTAGAATTTTATTCATTGAAGCACCATTATGGCGTTCCACTACCTTAAATTCTCAGGCTGCAACCCGTTTTATTGAGCATTCTTTGCCAGATCTTACCCCTGGTAGGCAGTCAATCTTTAATTTGTTGCTACTCTTTTCTTCCCCATGCGTCATTTAAGAATTTTCATTCTCTGCAGCACAGAGGCAAGGTATGAGGGATATAAGTCGAGGACAGGGTCCAAAGATCAAGTATACAGAGAGGAGCGTCCAAAAGAAGAGAAAACACCGGTCATCTGAAAAACAATCTCAATCTGTTCAGGCTGCTGCAAAAGAATTTCTTGAGAAGGCAGCCCGTGAACTCTTTGGTGACAATGACGGTGGTTTTAAGGGGCCTCTACAGATTGACAATTTGGATAAAGAACCTGTGGAATGATCTCCTTATAGTCACGGTAAATATTGATTTCATGTTTTGTTGCATGTGAATTTCTTTCTTGTTTTCATTTTGGTTGATTCATTGCCCTTGATATGCATGTCTGTTTAGTGTGAGTAGCCATGTTTCTCTGAATTTCAATTCCTTTTAGAAACATAAGGATTATTTCTCTACAAGTGACTCTGATCAAACATTTTTCCCTATCTTGGACAACTCGTACTACACCTATCCACTACAATGTTGTGCTCACCTAAAATGATTGTGAGCATCTTTTTAGAAGTACATTAATACAAGTTACACTGATCTATATAGATACTGAGTTTTTTTCCCCATCTTGTATTTTTTATGAATGAATATTGAGTTTATTTTTTTGCCTCCCTGTTTTTTGGTGCCAGTAATGGTGGAAAATGCAGACTGACGTTGTGAGCATCTTGGATACCATAACTTTTAATCTTCACTATGGAATATTGAGTTAGCACCTACAGGTATCATCACCATTTTCTTTATTGTATTTGAGGT